GAAAATTCAGTACTGAGTAGGAAATTTCAGGGAAACATTTGAAGTATAGAATAGTTCTCCAGATAGGATAGGATGGTCCATTTTGGGAAGGAAAGAATGGGTTGTTTTTAATGTGACAGTGAATAATTCAGAGATCACTTACTTTTGAGAGTTCTGGGTTACCTGCCACGTTTGGCACTACAGGAAATTACCTATCATTTCTGTGACTCAGTTTTCTCAATTATAAAATGAAATCTTGCATACAGAACATTAAAATAGGACTGGATATGCAGAGTTAATGAAATGATAATGAACATTTAACTGTCACTACTATTTATTATGTGTTTCCAATGTTCGCTTCTGTTTAGTTGAGGAGGTATTGAAAATCTTGTGTGCTGGTCACCATGAGGCCTGGATGTCTCAAGGATAAATTTAAACATGATTTGATTTATCCTTTAGCCTTCCCACCCAGTCATATGCTAATTAATTTGTTTAAGACCTGCTAATAGATATAATAAAAATTTCTAAAATATATGCTCTGGGTGCTCTTTTGCACCTGGAAATTAGTGAAATGACTAATAGGTTCTTGACCCACAGGTTCACAGTACGCTGAGATGAGTCAGAGTCAGGTGAGAGGTTCAATGGAGGAAACTCTCGAAGTAATCCGTGAGTGGCCCTAAGGAAAGCGGAATATGGTGAGTTCATAAATGAAGAAGTAGAGGTGGACATTGTGGCTTATACCTTCAATGCCTGATTTAGAGATGCTATGGTTAAAGGGTCATACAGTCCTGTTCTTCTTGGACTATATAAGAAGACACTGTCTCAAAACAGCAAAGCTACAAACAAAAAGAAATGAAGACGTAAAAATGATCATATAAAACCAGTAAGTATGGTAAATCCTTTGCAGACTTGGCTTAAACTAGAAATACAAAAGGCAGCAGAAGTATCTGAAAGGAAATGACTACAAAGATTCATGAAAAGTAATAAGCAGCAGACAGTAGGAATGAATGCAGATAGATCACTCTGAGACAGAAAGAAGTTCTTAAATAAGAGAGAAGGATAAGATTAAGGAAGGAGAGGTCACCGCTCTTTTATATTCTTGGTAAGTGAAGTGATTAGTTAGGAGGTGTTTTAGAGTAGTATTTGAGTCTTGACTAACAGGAATGAACTGGAAATAGTCATTTCTGGTAAATGAAAAGAAACATGATTCAGGATGATAAAAATAACACTAATGAACTATGTTAGAACTCAGCTGAAGTTTGAAAAATCGCATGGATAAAAGTAACTTTCTTATAACCCAGCTTTGTAATCCAGAAGACCCAAGCCATTACATGAGACAGCTCTGGCCAAAGTTATTTCGGAATATTTCACATGCTGACTAACAGACATAAGAAACTGATCGTGTAATTAGGAATATTGCTAGACATACTAGAATCCAAAGAGTCAGCTCTATAGCTCTCACCATTCTGTGATTCATTAACTTTTGCTTTCATTTGCACTTTTCAGTCTCTATAGATTGGAAGAGCCTTAGTCTAACTGAAGAGACATTATTTTCTATTATAATAAGTCACTGTGTCTATATTTTACCCTCAAATTAGATGCTATCCTGGCTTCTTTGAGAACTCTCTAAGGCCAATATTCTTAAGTGTTCTGAGGAATATCTGAAGGTTGACATTAGAGAGCCCCCAAATCTCTCTCTGTGACCCAAGAGGAACCTCTCTGCAAACATAGATATGCTTAGGGGAGGCTGGGCCTGTCTTTCCTCCAGTTAGGTATATAAAGCATGTTCTAGCAATGACGTATAATCAGAGAAACATTTCAACTAGGATTATGCTCTTTGGTTTCATGATGTAATTTCTGCCCATGACAAGAAGAGAGTTTGGGGGAATCCCAAGAAGTGAAGTGACCCAACTCAGTTTTCACTGCCCATGGGAAAAAAGTAGATTCCATACAGAGGAAATAGATGAGAGCCTTACTCTGGCCCAGTGCCACACTGCACCTCAGGTACCTGGAGGTACTGCTGAGGCAAAGTTCATTTATCCATTGGAGTCCAAAATGCACAGACAATTTCTTGTATTAGGGTATTTTTGAAAACTCTTTCTGAAAAAATTTGAATGGAGAGCTAGAGGAAGTGATGGATGAAGTCATAATAATGGCTGGGAATAGGGCCATGATGATGGCCGGGGAAGAAATTTTTGAACTGTGAAACCACAAGTCCAAAGACCAGTCTTTAGCGTGTCAAGTATTAGGAGAAATAAAGCAAAGATATTGAATTGGTTGAGCACAGTGATGAAGCAGATTAGTACGAGATGACATCAAGTACAGATGACAGATTGGTGGCAGTCAGATGGAGTAGAGTAGATTATAAACAATTTAAAACTGTAATTAATACATTTGGGTTGTACTCTGAATAAGACAACCCAAAAATGGTTTGAAAATACTTGTGTTTATTAATATTTCAAGGGTCACTCTAGTTGCTAAGCTGTGAATTGACTAGTGTGGAGAAATTACAAAAGCAGGGAGAACACATGGCTACCAGAACAGTTGAAGAAAGGTGCTGAGTTATGGAATTGAGAATGTATTTTTAAGACAGAACATGCTAGGGAAGTATATATGACATTTAAAAATAGAAGCAGGGATTATTCCATTGTTTTTTGCTCTTTTATGTTGTTGCTAGGATAAATATATTAATCTAATCAATTAAAATGTGTGAAAGAATTCCTGTCAAGTTCTTGTGAAGATCAACAATTATTCTGTTATTAGACAAGTTATGGGAGGAGGCAGAGTTACTTCCAGACATTTTCCAGATGATACAACAATAACTTCCACATTCTGAAGGTTTTCTGCCACTTTTCTCTCAGGTTCTTCCAGATATGATCATGGAATACTAGGATTCACTTCAGCTGTAAAATGGGAATAGTAAACCCTAATTCAAAGGACAATTGTTAGTGACAAAAGAACATAATTTGCAAGATTATGGATTGCTTTAGTTTAAACCTGAAATGTCTTGCAGGGATCTATTTGTCCATAGCTTGGACAATAGCCCATTGTACTTCTAGAAAATGCTAGAGCTTTTAAAAAGTGAGGTATAGTGGGAAGTATTTTGGTAACTAGGGCTAGGTCTTTGAAGGAGATAGTGAGACCCAGATCTTTTGATAAGTCTTACTTTTGGATTCTGGCCATCATGCAAATAAATGGCGTTGTGCCACTGGAATAAGCTAAATTGCCACAGACCAAAAACCAACAGGGACAACCAACCATGGACTGACATCTCCAAATCTGTGAGCCCAGACAAGCCCGTCTTCTTCAAAAACTGATCATTAGTGGTATAGAATGCTGGCTAATGCAGAGAGGAGCAGCTAAGGTTGCTTCTTGCCACCATCTCGACCTTTCCTGTTTATTGTATTATCTGTGACTCAGAAGCAACTGCATCAAATGGGAATGCTATTAGAAAGTCAGTCTTGCTGGGCAACGGTGGCGCGCGCCTTTAATCCCAGCACTCGGGAGGCAGAGCTAGGCTGACTTCTGTGAATTTGAGGCCAGCCTGGTCTACAGAGTGAGATCCAGGACAGGAACCAAAACTACACAGAGAAACCCAGCCTCAAAATCGCACCCCCCCCAAAAAAAAAGAAGAAAGAAAGAAAATCAGTTTCAGCCTCATGCCATAGTGATACTAACACAGAATGTGTGTGTTATCAGAAACCCCGAGTAACCACATATGTACACAAGCATGTGAGAAGAACCATTTTAGAATTTCAAGGCCACTAAGGCTGTGAATCTGTTCAAGTTTCAAATGCCCAAAACAAGACTGTGAAAGATTATATGATTTTACACATGACATTGGCTTGATCAAGGGTTCTATTTCCCAAACCAGCATTCTTTTTATTACAGTGGGGTCTCAAAACTCAGCTAGCACAGACACTATCATCTGAAGAAGATGGAGAAAACCAGAGGGCCACTCTTTTTGAAAAAGTTGCTCTCTCTGGAAGAAAAGGCAGATTATTCTGTTGTTGGTCCCTCCTCTTCACTAGGGACAAAATTAGCTGTGTAGGGAAATACTTTTTATTTTAACCTCAGAGATAATGTCAGATAGCACGGAAGTGTGTTTATTTCTTTATTTCTATCCAATATACACTTGTATGCAACTAAATTCTTGTAATTATTCTAATCCAATTCTGTTCTTTTCCTCCAAAGGGTTTTCAGCCTCTGAGACTTGATTCTGAATTCCTGTTTACGGCCTTTGCCCAGGCCAGGTGAGGTGTCTCAATTTGGTCAAGGCACATTCCATCCTCTATACTTTAGCTCAGGCTCCCATTTCTTCCTATCTTAATGCATTCTAGGACATCCCTTACAGTGGCCTGTGAAATCACAAGACTACCAGAAAGTATCATTTTTGGAAGCGCCCTTAGAGATATTATGTACATGGTGTGTGTGTGTGTGTGTGTGTGTGTGTGTGTGTGTGTGTGTGTGTGTGTGTGTATACCGTAGATGTATGTGCAGTGAGAGACCCATGACCCAACAGAGGTAACAGCATGGCTTAAAGTCAGAGTGAAGTGTAGAATCTAGTGTTTCTTTCAGTGGTCTTTCCTCAGCTTCATGTTTCCTGTTAAAAATCTTAATCTTCTGACAGTACTAATATAAAACTGAAAAGCCAGAACTGGGAAGTGGCTTTTCCTTGTGTCTGAGAATTCCAACTGTCCCAACATTTGGTTTTCTCTGAAACTCTAAGCCTGCTAAGTCATGCACAGAACTTTTAAAAACTGGGCTGCATTTAGCTGCCTCCTCCCTTCCTCCCCGCAGATTCAGCTAGATCCAACTCTAGGCCCTTCCCCCACTTGCCCCGGCTTCAGTTCCTGGAGCTTTAATGACTCTTGCCATACTTGTGGCTTGGCCATTGTTTACCCGCCAGACTCACAGTGTCCTCTCAGGGGCGGGGTTTATTTGCATAACCACTCCCAGGCACATCAAATAGTCCAATAGTTGTCCCTCGTGCCTCACAGAGGAGAGGAGGGGGATAGGCACAACATGAAAGAAATAGAGGATGGATTTGATCTGTTGTTGCCACACGTGAAAGTGAAATGAGTCCAGCAGAACACTGGTTGCAACGGATTTCGCCTATTGTGAGAGCGGTATGCAGGCTGGGGGCTGGAGGCGGCTACTGGGCAGGGTGTCTGTTCTGTGTTTGTTCAGGGAGTCCAGTTGTATGATCCATCCATTGATCTTTACAGGGTAAGTGTGGGAACACTCCTTCATGTGGTAAATCAGTTGGAACCTGTGTCACCTAGGGACGGAAATAGAGGACCATATCAGATGTCCGTGTGAGGGTACTACAAAGTCAGCATGACTTGGGGGAAGGTATTCTGTGGCTATCAGTCATTTCATCGTTTGTGCCCTGACAGCACTCTCTGAGATGTCAGAAACTTAGGCTGTTATCCCTACAGCCTTGACTAGTCAGTTCCTGCCTGTACAGGTTCGAACTGGAGCCAGATGGCCGCTGGGAATATGCCCGGACTTGTCCAACAACCTTGTGCATCTGGGATCCAGAGATAAGGAAGAGAGAGGAGGAGGGAATGGATTGGACATTCAGAGCATCCTGCAGAAAGCTGAACTACTAGCCCACCCACGTGGTGCTCGGGCAAGTCCGGGCCTGTGTAAAGAGCAATTTGGCACTGTGTATGGGGGCTTTCAATCCAGCCTTGTCACCAGTGACTGAGTTTCATTTGATCACTTGCTGCTGGAAGCCGAGCCCAGGACAGTGATATTTTGATCCGGCCTCACCCCAAACACTGGCCAAGGACCAGACAGCTGCAAGAACTGGCGGGGTGCAGGGAGGAGAAGAGACCTGCCAGAGACTAGGCTGGGAAAACAGGCTGTGGGATCTCATTTTGACAGGTTTTGGCAGCATTGGACAATGTCACGTAGGGCAATGGGAGGTAGTAAATTGTGGAACTCTCTGTCTAGGTAACTCTCCTGTCCCCTTCATCCTGCCATACATTTAATCCAACATAAGATTCATATTGAATACATACCCTCTATCATAAAGCTTAAAGTACTAAGCTGTCTGTGTGATACAGAGGCTGTATCCCCTATGGCTTAATAGACTCATCCTGAGCGTAGGAACACAAATAATACTGCACAAAATAAACTTTAAAAGTTTAGTCAAAATGCTCTGAAGTTGTCAAGTAAGGACCATATCAACTAGAGAGAGAGAAAAACAGAAAAGTTGTGGCTTTTTTCAGTTTTCCTTTCTTTCTTTCTTTCTTTCTTTCTTTCTTTCTTTCTTTCTTTCTTTCTTTCTTTCTTTCTTTCTTTCTTTCTCTTTCTTCCTTCCTTCCTTCCTTCCTTCCTTCCTTCCTCCCTCCCTCCCTCCCTCCCTCCCTCCCTCCCTCCCTCCCTCCCTCCCTCCCTCCCTCCCTCTCTCTCTCTCTCTCTCTCTCTCTCTCTCTCTCTCTCTCTCTCTCTCTCTTGATTTCGAGTGTTTTGTTTTGAGTTAGAGTTGTCTCGGGTATCTTTAGGACCTGAGAGGTTCCCAGGTAGATAAGGCTGGACTAAATGAAACTCTCTCTATAGCAAGGAGGCTCTTTAATTCCTGATCCTCCTGCTTCCAGCTCCTAAATGCTGTAAGTACAGGTATGTGTTCATTATGCCCAGATAACTGTTTTTCAATCCTAATACACCTATGGGTGCTAGAGAGCAAAATTATTTGTATTCAGATCTCATTCCACCAAATAGCAACTGTGTGACCTTGGTCAAAAGGAAGATTTCTCCCTCTCTGAGGTTCATTTTACTATAGGTAAAAGTTGAGACAACAGTGCCAACATCATCGAGTTATTCTGAGGATGAACTGAATTAATCTATGTAAAATACTTGTACATGCTTAGCACAGTTCAAAATAAGCACTCAATAAATGTTAACCATTATTATTTAAGATAGATTATGTAGCACAGATAGGATTTCAACAGGTGGAAAAAGGAGAGAAGGCATTTTAAGCAGAGAAAACATGAACAACTGCTTGATGGCAAGGAACTCAGAACATGTGAAAGGAACACTAGTTGAATTGGATGCTTTAGTACAATTAGGAACAAGTAGAAATAAGACTGGTGGGAAACTACACAAGACTTCAGATACTTGCGTTTCTGTCTATTTGGCAGATCATTGTACAGCCACTGTGAGTTTCTGAATTAAAGAAAAAGTCAGATCTATACTGTAGGAAGAATAATTAGGTAAATGTGAATCAGCTGGGCAGGCATAAGAAGACACAAAAGTGAACAAATGAAAAGTAGACAAAGCCCTAACTTTGACTCTTCAGAAATTTGAAGTTGATGACTTACATGGCATTTGAAAAGGGAAAGATGAAGTTTATCTCTTAGGGTTAGTTTATACTTTGAAAGGGTACACATTTTCATCCCACGTCTTTAGATAGTGTGATTTGGAATCTATTGTTTGGAATCCTAAAGGCACTGTATGCTCAATATTTCCATTCTGCATCAGTATTCACTTGTCTGGTTTTATACAACAATGAGATATTCCTTCCATCCACCTATAGAATCATGAGTAAGCCCAGTGAGAAAATTAAAACTTCCCTAGGTTTCTGTTTTCCTGAAAAAAAAATGGGAAATAGTTCCCACTTGTTGAAAGGATTAAAAATGATAATCTTGTGAAGGATCTAGCCCAATGCTTGATGAATAGTAGGCTTTTATGAGTCATATGTTTCGTTTAAACTTGACTTCACCTTTAAACACCCATCTCATCTCTGACAACACTTCTAGAGGAAAAGTCTTCACTGTTCTCTGAAAGAATCCATTATCTGTTCGTGGGGAAATGCTTGGTTGTTGCAAGTTTTTCCTTTTGTTCAGATGTTCTAATGATGCTTTCTGGGGCTACTTACTGCAACCTCTTTCTCTCTTCTGAAAGGTCAGAGATCTGAAGATCAGAGACCAAATTTCCCTCCATCTTCTGTTCCTGGGTAAATCAGCTGGTTTTTTTTTCATTTCTCATGTGGCATGGTATTTATTAATTAAAATATGAGTCTGAGGTTTTGAATTTACAAAATGGAGTGGTAACACCTTCAGATGTCAGTAACTACAAAAGAAACATTATGGGAGAATGTGACAAATTTCTTTATAATGTATTATTCTTTTCAATTCTTTAATTGTATCATTTCTTCACTAGAGAATGCTCAGAGAAAATGTAACCTGATGGAGATCATTTGGTCTCTGTGTGTCTGAGTCATAACTGCAAGCCACAGTTTTGTTTTTTCTTCTAATTCACTTTTCCCCTTCATTTTCTACAGCTGCTTGTGTATAAGATGATGGCTAGATAGGTTAATTCTGGAACTAGAGAGGAAGAGAGGAAGGTAATCATCCAATTACCTTGTACCAGTTACTTTGTCTTTGAAATTTTTCAGTAAGAGAAACCAGGGAGGAAAAAGTCCCTAGACCCAGAAGAAAAGCAAATTATATCTTGGCCTAGAAACCTAAGGCAGGCCATATAGCTTTCCTTTAGTTAAATGTCTTCTTGATCTCTTCCACTGAATGCCTTCTGCAGGGAGTAAGCTAAGTCATTATTCAAAGCTGAAGCTTTTGAAGGAAAAGATATTTTTTTCCTCTGCTTCCTTTAGAAGACTGGCCCCACCCTTATATTTTCCCATAAAGTGCTTAATGGGAAGTGTATTGGCCAGTTTTATCATTAGTTTATATACTAGATGGACCATTATTATTAAATACATAGGAGAGATGTCGATATGGCTCTAGTCTGTCTTAGATTAGCATTAACTATATATTTTTCCAGTGTTTCTCTAGACATGCTCTCTTACACATTAATCAGCCTTCTTTATTCTGGTCGGTTTTCTCTTTTGTGACTAACAGAATGCCTAGTGTAGAAAACAATTATCAACTGAGTATTTTAGTGACTAACCATCCATCCTACAGTTACTCTATATGTAAGAAATAGCAACCCATTATGAAAAATAAAGTGGTTTCCATGTAATATATGATGGAATCAAACAGTAAAATGTCATTATTTCCAGGAGGTTGTTAGTCACTGTTGTGAATAAGCCAAAATAAGTGGGCAGTACTACTTCACTTCCATGAGCTGCCTTTCCCTGACCCAGTCTATCCTCTGGAATTTTTCTTGTTGAGAAATTACACAGCCAATATTATGTTGTGAAGAAAAGAGAAGCTGCATCCTTGGTAACATAGTCAGTCGGCAGTCAGTCATGAAGGTGGCCTGCCTCTTTGTGTAGGGGAAATAGACAAGTCACTGAGCCCTGAGCAGAGACTTAGATTACAGTCTTAACAAACTATGCATGTTTGAGGAACATTGTATTTTTTTTCCTGTACCTCCAGTTTTCCTACTTGGATCATAAGAGTTGAGGTTATCTTGATATATCCTTGTGGAATTTCATGCCTATGTAGTCTCAATTAGTTTTATCTTAAATTTTAACCAGTTGTCAAAATGAAGAAAAAATAAATAAACCATAATGAAAACATACTGTCTTATGAGTACTGAGTTGCTTGTTATTCAAGGCGTTCAAATACAGATGGATGGTATTTTCCTCTGAGCAATAAAAAGATGAGGCTAATATGACCTTTTGTGTGAGATTTTCAAAATCTGAAATTATTTCTGAAAATTATTTCACAAAAGCATAATTATGTATGAGATAATAGGTTTATTTTTACCAGATATGTTTTATAGTACTAACCCTTTCAACTCCTGTACTTTTTCCTCTTCTTGAACATTTTTTCATGTAAATTTATTTTCTTTAAAATGTTTTAGTTAGCATTCAATACATTTGAGTTTCATTGTGACATTTTTGTAAGTGTGTATCAATCTTTCTTATTTATGTTCACCTTCAGTTATCCTTCCCATTTCATGGGCATGGCTTTTAAAAGGGTGGTGGAACAACTTTGGCAACAGCATCTCATTCTCTACGAATAGGCTCAATCTCTGGGCTGATTTTCCCAGTCTTGTTGTGTGGTTTTTGCCTTGGGTTGAATTACATGTACCTACTATTTTATCCCACTCTTTCTGTAGGATATTTCATTCCCTGGCCTTCTGAGGAAGAAATGTCATATTTGATTACTGTTGGGTAAAAAGGACTGACGGATTCAGGGTGGTACAGTTGTTCTAGACTGCTTGGTAATCTGATCAGAGTAGAAACAATATGATGCAAGACCAAAAAGTAGTAAGGGAAATTAGAAATTAGAACACACTTTCTGAATCATACCATTTCCAGACATCCACATAAAGAAATCATATCATGATTTCAATTTCTTTCTGGGACACTACCAAATTTCCTTGGGAAGCTAATGAATCTCTACTTCAAGCACTCTAATGGTTTGTAACTAATTATTTCTCATAGCATACGCTGTCTTATGGTGGTCAATACACAAATCAGTGACTCACTTAGACTTGGGTGACAGCAGAGAAAAGCAGACTTAAATATTGGCTGAATGTTGATGTGACCTGTGGCTTGTCTCCAATGTCCTTTGTTGCTCTGCTTTGGGTGGGATAGTAACAATAGTCCTAGGAGCTCTTCACATGTGAAGCACAATTTGAAGTTTCCAGAGCGTTTTCACATACATTGTCTCATTCTTTCCCTTGAACATGATCCAAGGTATTTTCTGTGCCTTTGCTTCTACTTGCGATGACTGTTTCAGCAGAAATCAAAAGGATATGTTCCTCTTAAAGTCAGCCTAGAATTGATTGACCTTAATTTAATTTCATTAATTATTTTATTAATCATCTCTCTTGATATATATATGGTTTTGTGAGTTTTTGGCCTTTTCTTCTGCTCAATTTACAGTCTTCTAAGTTGTATAGTTGTATTTGTCTTTTTGACAAGTGTGTGTCTTTTTGTATAGTAGCTATGTGTGCAGGCACACATTCTGAAATTTAACTCACATGGTTACTCTTTGCCTTTGGATAAATAGAAGTGGCCCAGTTTACTGACTATTAATTCTACCTCTACAGTGACAACTGGCTTGAAAAGGAACTATATACTTCTGCCTACCTCAGATGAGCTATAACCTCTTGCTTTGTGTACTGGAATAAAGGACAAAGTAGACAGGTAAGTCAGTCTTTAATTGTGTACAGCTCCTTTTTATTTTCCTGAAGTTGGTATCATGAATAGATGAAATTCTTAAGCCAATAGGAAAATAGAAAAAGAAGCCAATTAAAAACTATTTCTATCACAGGCATATATTTTAGCAAATTTAAGTATAAAAAGACAATTTACTTTTTAAATATGGGTTCTAAGGCTCAAGTCCAGTTCATCAGGCTTCCATGGCAAACACATTTACCTGCCTACTGAGCTATTTTGCTGGCTGGAAACTTACTTTTACAAAAATCAAAATAAGAATAATACATCTTGGGCTGGAGAGATGGCTCAGCGGTTAACAGCACTGGCTGTTCTTCCAAAGGTTCTGAGTTCAATTCCCAGCAACCACATGGTGACTCACAACCATCTGTAATGAGATCTGATGCCCTCTTCTGGTCTGCAGGCATACATGCAGACAGAACACTGTATACATAATAAATAAACAAATCTTTAAAAGAAGAAGAAGAAGAAGAAGAAGAAGAAGAAGAAGAAGAAGAAGAAGAAGAAGAAGAAGAAGAAGAATACATCTTAACCCCTTTGTGCATTCCTGCACCAAAATCTGGCACTAACGCTCACTAGTTAATCATTAACATTTTAACATGCATTACTATTACCAGAGTCTAGTTTTCCCTGGGTTCCCCTTGTGTATGGGTGGCTGCTATTCTCTTTCTAACTTTAAATATGTGTGTCACCTAACATTTTATTCGTGGCATTCTTCTTTATTCATCTAAGTCTATCCCACTATTTACCTAGTATAATGATTCGTAACCCCTTAATGTTTTCATTTAATTAGTCTTGGGTGTAGGCATTTCCCAAAACTTCCTCAGGAACCTTTTAGAATGATTATTTAAAGAAAAATCAAGTTCATGTTCAGAAAAGGTTTTTTTCTGTTCACTGGAAATATCACAAAAAGAAAAAATATCAGTGAAGGTTATACACTCACAATTTTAGTAAAACACCGCCTTGCAAAGCATGATGCACTTAGGGACTCTAAGTTACCTTTGAGTCTTGGCTTTCTTTCTTTTTTAAAATATTTTTTAAATTTTTAAGTAAATTTATTTATCTATTTATCTTATATTAAGCTACAGTCTCCCTCCCACCCTCCCATCCCAGTCCCTCCCCCACTTGCTCCCGCCTACTCCCCTCTGATTACCCCCTCCTCCTCCATCTCTGTTCAGGAAAGGGCAGGTCTCTCATGGATATCAACAGAACATGCATATCAAGCTGCAGTGAGACTAAGCACTTCCCCATGTATTAAGCTGGGTAAGGCAACCCAGTATGAGGAGTAGGGTCCTAAAAGCCAGTAAAAGAGTCTGAGACACCCCTGTTCCCATTGTTAGGAGTCCCACAAGAGGACCAAGCTACACAACTGTAACATACATGCCAAGATTGGCTTTCTTTCTTACTATATAAATGAACTTAAGGTAATATTTTCTCTCAGAGACTCATTTATTTTGTTTTGATAAAATCTGCCTTAGCAGATTATCATTAAAGTTCATGGAACTAACTGACATCACACAAATTATAAGGTTGTTACTATTATTCTATAGAATTTCTTTTTATCATTTGCTCAAATAATAAATACTTACACAGAGCCTACTGTGTGACAACCACTGTTTTAAATATTTTGGATTGGGTAGTAAATATAATAGGTACAATGATGTCATAGTTATCCTCTTTAGTTTGAGAAAAAATAGGACATATGTTAAGAAAACCATCATGTAAGAAGGTCATACGTACTATGGAGAATAATAAAACAAGAGGGGGGTAGGGGGGTTAGGGGAATTCCAATTTTAAAATAGTGGTCAGAGAAGCCCTATTAAGAAGATGATATAATAATAAAGAGCTGAAGAAGTTGAGAGAACTAATCAAATGTATATATTCAGAAGAAGATTCCTGGCTTAGAATGTATGAAGACCTTCCACTGAAAATATTCCTGCTTAATGTGAAGAATAGCAATGAGACCACTGTGGCTGCAGTGAATGTAAGGGGAAGAATAGTAGAGCACATAGCTGGAGATAACAGAGGAAGTTTAGGCAGCCAGATTATGTAAGACATCACTGGCCATTAAAAGGACTTCAGATTTCTTGTGAGTAAAAGGAAAGGCCATTGAAAGGGTCGAAGATAATGTAGCCTAATACGTTTTAAAGGATCCGTTCTCCTACATTCTGCTCCTTTATCTCTCATTCTCTTACAAACAAGAAAATAAGGGAGAATTGCCTCTCACTGTGGAAGAACAGGAATTCTCTTTTGCTGATTATGCTTTATATTCAAGAAATACAGAAAGTCAAAGCTAAAAGAAACCTTACACTCACACTGTTATTTCGAGTAGCTGTACCTGAGTATCAGTGGGTAAACTGTATAAGTTCTGGAAGCTCAGTTCATTCTTTGACTAATTACATCAGAAACTCAAGACTGGTACCCAGGTATCATTATATTTTGGAGTCTCTCAAATATGACTAAGAATGAGGACCCCTGGTCTGAAGTGTTTAAACTAATCAACCTCATGATGACTGTGTAGCTTGAGTCAGCACTGAGTATCACTCTGTTACTTTTGGCAGAGCTCTTCCTGGGATCATTTACTGTAAGTAAAATAAAAAATGAAAATTCACAAACAGTGAGCTAGGAAGAGGATAAGATGCTTGACAATATGGAAATAGGAAACTGACAAGAGAAAGCTGAGCTGGAAATGGATCTGGGCCAGAGCAGAAAAGAGAAAACTGAAAGACAGTGTCGAATCGTTTACAACAACATCTGAACTGCAGGCCAAACATCTGGAATTGATCACAGCACTACCCAGATTAGAAGTTTGATTTTCAAGGAAAGAATTATTCTCAAGGCCAAACTGAGCAACTGCTTTGATTTTTGACAGCACCCTGCACATGGGTGGTGATTGGGCTTGCATGAGAGGAATGGGCAGGGAATGGGCCAGCTGCTATCTTCATCACCCTTTTTAAATCTCAGGACTTCTGGACTGTCCGGGCAAAGCAAATAGCCTAAAGTCCTGAGTTCTTAATTTAGACTTGTCATCCTCCAAGTTCTACCCATCCTAGATAGAGACCATGCTTCATGCCACAGGCATTTCTGCAAGTTGAGAAGACCAACAGCCACAAATGGTGGTCAGAGGCAGCTGCACACCCAGCAGTGTGAGTACCTTACACCCAACAGAAACTTAGCCAACATCATTTATTCAGGGCACAGTGAGCTAATGTTAGACTATTCTTAATGCCAACCTCATTGCTTTTCTTTTCCCCGTCTGCCTGCATTAACTCTCTTCTAGGTTATTTTCTGAGGAATCAGGGCAATGGGAAGAGGCTCACAGATTATGCAGATAACAGACAGGACAAGTAAAGAAGCACTAGTCACTTTTTTAATCACTCCACTCTTACTGGATAAATATATGTGTGTACACGTTTAATAAAATATTAATGTAATAATATAATATTAGTACATATATGTGTACATACACATCAGTTACGAAATTTGGGCGAAAAGTTGATTGAAATAACTCATTTGGTCCAGGAGGATATTTCAAGTATTTAATTAAAAAATGAAGGTCATCTTTCTTCAAAAAACTGAAGCATAATTCATATAACATAAATTTACCATTTCAAGTATACAACTTCCTGCTTTTTAATATATTACAAGGTTCCACTATGTAATTCCGGGTCATTTTCGTTCCCCGTTGCATAGTCACTGTCTCCTCCTCCCCGCATACGTCTCTGCGGATTGTCTATTTTAGACAGCATGTAAAAGAAGTCACATTGTTGCCCTTTCATGTCTAGTTACTTCCCTTAAACATAATATTTTAAAGACTGATATTACACATTAGACAGCATGTAAAAGAAGTCACATTGTTGCCCTTTCATGTCTAGTTACTTCCCTTAAACATAATATTTTAAAGACTGATATTACACAGTATAGCATACATTATATGCTTTATTGCCCTTTCTAGACGAATAATGTTTTGTTGTACAGACATACCACATTCTGTTTGTCTACTTGGTTTATAAGTTGGTGGACATTTTATTTAATTTTTTTACTTTCTCTTCTTATGAATATGCTGCTAGGAACACTTATTACTAGGTTATGTGGGAACACATGTTTTAATCTCTTGGCACATATATTAAATTTGCATTCCTACTGAGCACACATTCATGTGCTTATTGGTCACTTGTATATCTGCTTAAAATCTGAGCTTATTTTACATTGTGTTTTTAAAATTTTGAGTTATAAGAATTCTAATTATATTCTAGGTACAAATATTTTATTAGTCATATGGTCTGCAAATTTTAGTTGGTTGTTGGTGGTGCATACCTTTAATCCCAGCACTTGGGAGGCAGAGGCAAACAAATCTCTGTGAGTTTGAGGCCAGCCTGGTCTACAGAGTGAGTTCCAGTACATCCAGGGCTTTTGCATGGAGAAAACCTGTCTCAAAAAAAAAGTGAGCTAATTTTTTATTTTATTAAATTTTCTTTTCATTTGTTCTTTGTTTCTTTCATATCATGCATCTTGATTCCATTCATTTCCCATTCCTTTATATCTGCCCTCTGCCCTTGCAACCTTTCCTGCAAAATAAAATCTAAGAGAAAAAAGGAAAAAAAAAGGAAAATCTCATTATGGAAGCTGCAGTGTGACACAGTGAGTCACGCAGTAAACCCTTTTATCCATATATCTTTATGTGCAGGTGTTCATTGCTAAGAGTCATTGGTCTGGTTCAAGGCCTCTGGTTTCTGCTATACCATCATTATAGAAGCTGAGTCCTCACTGGGACTCCTCTTGGATATCCTGTTGTTGTTCTGTGTCGTGGAGATCCTACAGCTTTGGGTCTGCAGGACTAGCCACTTCACATGCTCCGTAAATTATAGATGGGGTGGATGTTAGGGTGGCCCCAACTCATAACCCTGATTCTGGGCCTGGGTGGTTGCAGGATAGGTCAGCTCTCCCTCATCTTCACCACCCAGGTGAGC